CAACTTACAGGCCAGGTTGCCTTTAAGTATTTTGCTAAGTGTCATTCATGGCAGTCCACAGTAAAGAAGAGCCACAGTATCTTGTTAGCCTGCGTGTCCACTAACTCTTAACCACGCTAAAGGAACTTGATAGAAAATGGCTAGCAAGATGGTTAGTCTATAAAATGGTCCTCACACAAGCGGAAGAAACTGACTTTGGATTTCCAGAAGTCAATAAAAAGACAGACATGGTTACACACCTATAGTCTCAGTGTTGGGGAGCAGTAGTCTGGGGGACCCCTGGAGTTTGATGGCTAGTAGACTGAGTCAGTGAGCTCCAGATTCAGAGAGAGATGGTGTCTCAAAGTATAAGGTGGAGAGTAATTGAGGGAGACACCCAGTGTTTACTATATCTCTGGCCTCCAAAAAACATGTACATAGGTACACGCCATTCACACATGGATACACACGGACATGTATGTACATACACTATACATACATATAAAAGAAAGAAAATGATTTTCCAAAAACATGCAAAATTCTAAACACAAATTTGAAAGATTCTAATAATAAGAGACACAAAGACAATTCAGTCTGTAACTGACCTGAGTGTGCTCTCTAGATATCGCCTAGTGAATGAAGAGAAATGACTCCTGCAAGGTTGTCCTCTGAGCTCCACACAAGCACTGTGGTACCCAGGGCTATAAATAGGACAGTGGTAAAAAAGTGCAATATATTTAAATATATAAATTTAAAGCACACCCACTTTCTAAATTGGAGTACAATATCATTTAAAAAGAAATGAAGTGGAATGGAATGACAGACTGATAAGGGAAAGGGTGAAATATGCTTTTTCAATAAAGGTAAATGTCTTGCTTATTTATTTCCAGTCAAAGATCCACTGCTGTGAGCATTTTAATAGAAATGTTCACAGTTTTCTTAGGTTTACTTATATCGGAAAATCAAAATCCTTCACTGTTCATTTCGCTGTCCAGACGATCTCTCCCTCTGAACATGGTTTGTTGAGATTTATCTCCTATCAGCTGCACTTTTCCTGTGGTCTAGGGGACATGCCAAGGCCCCTGTCACCCTGCTCCCTCACCTCCAGCCCCACCCCAACCCCCATTCGGGATAGTTCAGTTCCTCCTTTCTGTGTAGGAAGTGAGGGCAAGAATCAGCAGAACTATTTAGAAGAAGAGTGACAAGTTTGGTCGTAAGAGCCTAAAAGTGAGGCTTAACTGTTTAAAATACTTAAAGATAAGCAAAAGATTCAAAAAAAAAAAATAATGATAACGAATGTTCACTTTACTTGAGAAAAAAATTCAACAGATAGGAATTGATTGAATAGAAAAGAGATTTGATTATCTTCAGCGCAACCCTCTTTTCCATGAGTTCTGTATAAATATAAAGGAGGGGCAATGTAGAATCAACTTAAATATTCATTTTTTTCTCCCCCGGAGAGGCCAAGATGCTGGCAGGAGATGCAGGCCTATTCACTACATAGGATCAGTGTATGCTAACACTGGCCTATCCAGTCACTGTATAGGAGCAGTGTGGCTATGGACTCGCAGCAGAGTTTGTCTGTATGTGCTATAGATTGTGGGAAAACATGTTTCTACCTTGAGATAATAAAGCTCTTACTTATTTAAAATAAGCATTAACTTTATTTTCTATGCATTTTGGCAATGATATATAAAAAGGTAGACATGATACCTCATAAATCAAATTAAAAAAAAAAAGGATAAATTGAGCTGAGGTACATAGCAAAGTCTGCTTACCATCATTTAATAAAAACATGGCCTGTTTTGTAGTTTTGAGAACTGTTTTTGTATTGCATTCCTGTATTCACAGATTAAAAGTAATTCATTACCATTTGAAATACTATTCCTAAATGCACTACTTTAGTGCCATTCATCTTAGGGCTTGAAAATAATACTTGTTCAATTAGTTGTAAAAGTGATTTTTTAAATAGCTGTGACACAATGGCCCATTGTCAGTAGTTTTAATTCAATTACTGTAGTATTTCAATTTGTACTTTGGTTAGCTTGAAAGCCATGAATAGTTCTCCATAAAACCAACCTAGGAAAAAAGTCTTACTACACTTGGTTAATTATTCTTAAACAAATTTCAAAATTGCTTTATGAGCATTTTAAATATTTTTCAAGAAACCCAAAGGACCTAATATTTTTCTAAAGTTTGAAAATATAGCTAAAGAAGGTAACTTGCAAATCGGTCACTGAGAATGCATTTTGTATATTTTATATCAAAGTATGAAATATTATTAATATTTATGTCATGAATAGTGACACACCTTCTGATTAAACTTTGTCATGCTATCAAAGTATTTTTCACATATGCATGGATATATGTGATAATAGCATTATGAAAAAATGGAATTTCAGAAACACTAAGATATTATTGCAATAAGGAGCCAAAATGAGGAGGATTGAGATTTTTTTTCCCAACCCAAGAAATTCAGACTTTTGTAAAATATTTTAATGACTAATAAACATAAATTTAATGTTTAATGATCATTCTGTTTTTTTATTTGAATTTATGCTCCAATGAACCAAACTTTCTGATGTCCTGTTCTATAATTACAGAAATTATGACCTCATATCTGACCAAGTGGCTCTTGTTCAATCCCTGAGCTATAACTACTTGTACACAGCAAGGCTAAATTGTCAGTCATCCATACATTGATTCATCCATTCATTAAGCTTAGTGTTTTCCTAGCACCAGGTTTGGATATGGCCACTAAGGATTAAGGCTTATAAGGAAACCAGGTCCAACCCACATCAACTACCTACCAGCTAGTATTCTGAATTCTCACTCAGATACATTTTATTTTAAAGAAAGAAATTAGACTAAATACATTCACCTTGTGCTCATGCCTCAACATGTCCATATTCTCAGGTCCTCTCATTTGTGTGTGAATATTTGCAGACTGTTAGAAATAAATACAGAAAGGATGGTTGTAAATTTAGGCAAATAATCTCACTTGTTAGGGCTTAGAAGACTAGGGCCTGAGAATATCAGAAGAGATTAACATTGATATGATGCAATTAACATTGGTATAACCAACATCTTTATATAAGTTGAAATCCTCATTTCAATTGCTATGGGGGGGTTGATATAACAATCAAAGAAGTGTTGGTTGGAAATGCCAGAATACTAAATTATTTGGGGGAACTGTCATTCATCCCAAACTATTACTGAACATGTTGCTATCGTAAGACTTACTATACAGTAAGGATCCCTTGCATACATTGACTATCCTGTATCAAATATGCTATTTTCACTTCCAGATCATTTTTCATGTTTTATTATATTTTAAGTGTGGTGGAAAATGTTTACAGTGACCATCAAGATGATGTGATGAGACTTCTTGGTTCTTTAAGTTGAGGGGTGAGCCCGCCCCTCACCCCCCACCCCAAAGCCTTACCTCCAGCCCACTATGCACTGTTTAGTCAAGAGGGACTACGTGCATGCACCTCCATGTCTGTGGGGATTCATCTACATTCTTTGGTGACTGTGGTTTCATGTGCAAATCTATAGTTACGGACTCAAAATAATCACTGAGGAATGCTTTCCTCATCTTCAAAAGAAAAAAAATCTTCTGCAGCCCACTTTTACCAACAGGTAAAAGGACAAGAGGATGCATCCTTTTATAAACCCTGTGTAGTGTAGGTAGCACCAGCCAAGCTTTTCTCCTCCAGTCGGCTCATCACTGCCGTCCTAATGTATGGACAGATGTTGAGGAGAGGGTGCTTCTCATTCTGACTTGAATAAGACACTTAAGTCATTCCTTTGTCGCTAAAGTGCTGTGTGTGTGACAAGACAGTCTTTTAATTGCTGGTCACCCATGTTAAAACACAGCCACTGTTGAGTGGCTTCCTTTGCCTGTGATGCCAGGAACCCAGCAGAGTCAGGAACTCTAGAAGTCATGAGACAGCTGTTCTTAACCCAGAGACAAACACTTCAACATGCCCTCTGTGGCAATCCCAAGCTCCAACTCATTTGTGGAGTTTAGGGTGTGTGCAGTGCCAATCATGGGGAACTAACCCATAATAATTAAGAGATTTGGCAAAATCAACTGACCAGTCAATAGTATGCAGCTACTTAGATCCTTCCCTTCACATCAATCAGCTAATAAGTTGTTTAAACTAAATATTGTCAGTTTTTAAATTACTGACGTGATTTAGAAGGCAAGAACCAGGGGTTGAGGGGCTAAAGAAGCCAGATTCCAGAGCATTCGTTATTGGGGAGAAGAGAAATAGCTTGTAAACAAAGCTCTCAGAGTGGATTCCAAAGACTATTGGAATGTGCTGGAATGTGCTGAGAGGCAGTCATCACCAGTGGGTGAGAGGACAGATCCTGCGTTTTAAGTATGTATATTGAGTTGAGCCTGGTGGTACAACCTGTAATTCTACCCACTTAGGAGACCGAGGCAGGAGGCCACTGGCCCAAGACCAGCTTGAGCTACAAAGTGAGTTCAAGACCAGTCTGCAAATCAATGAGACAAAGGTCTCAAAATCAGAAGGAAAAAGAGGGCTGTGGATGCATCTCACAGAGCCCTTGCTAGAACCCCTAGATTCAGTCTCCAATACTAGAAAATGCAAACGTTAAAAATAACTTCATATTTGCTTGAAGATATGCATGGGAAATTAATACATGTTCAGGAGCCACAAAGAAAAAAGAGAAACTTTGAAGCACTGCGTGTGTTGGGAGCTTTAACTGTTTCTATAAGTTCATCCCTGGTGATGGGCATGCAGCAACAAGATTCTGCACTGAAAATAACAAAAGGTATCTTACGCTGCATGTAAAGTGGCATGTTATGACCTACTTGTATATTACCAGCGACTCTAATTTCACAGCAAAGTATAAACCCCTCTTCTCTCCCTCTCTCTCTCTTTCTTTTAAGTTAAATGCCACCATGGGGGAAAACACACTAAGAACTAAGTTTAATCAGATGGGGAAAAATACTTTTTTTTTATTGATATGTTTTACTTTGCTGGCAGACCAGAGCAAAGGTTTTGTGAACATTTAAAAGATGAAAAAAGTGAAGAATCCCAGAAGCGGTTTATCTTGAAGCGAGATAACTCTAGTATTGATAAAGAAGACAACCAGGTTGGTTCTCAAGTTTGAGAGTGGCTGACGTTGTTGTTTTTGAAGGTGGGCTGATTGATGTTCTCGTTGTCCCTCTGTTGTCCCCCTCCTGCCTCCTAGCCACCCCTTCCTGCCTCTGACAACCGCTGCCCTCTCTCCAACCCCTTGGCCTCCATTGCCTCCCCCTCTGGCATTCAGTGGGTAGCCACATGGTGTTGCGCAAGTTGCTTAGCAAGTGGCTCTGTGTTGGGCTGCATGGGTGGTGCTTGGCGCAGTCTTTGCTGCATGTTGTGGTGGGGGTCGGGATGCTGCAAGCTCCGAGCTGTGGGGATAAGCTTGTCAGCTGCCTTTCCAGATGTCTGTGTAACTCTGCCAGTCGCTCCACTCCCTACAGCTCTGTCCTTCCTTCCTTCCGTTGTGCACAATTTGAGCTGGATTATCAATGAGGACCGATGAGCCACCGGTGTAGCTGTAAAGAACATACCTTGTTATGGTGAGGACGGGAGGATTTTGCAACTATCCTAAAAATAAGTCTTCACAGCAAAGCATCGAGTTCCGTTCTCGCCCCCCACCCTTCTTCTCATGTTCTATGGTCTATGCAATGTGTTTGCTCGTTTGCATGAAGTGTAGCGGAAACTAATCCCTGTGTATTTTGCCTGTGACGAGACACTGCCATTCTAGAACAGCCCTAATCATGGTCCTGGAGCAAAGGAAAAGAGACCTTACTGAATCTCTTCTCTGCATGGGTAGGAGGGAGGGAGGTTACAAGCAAGAAGACTAAGTGAATGACAAAACAAAAACTGAAAAAAAAAAAATAATAATAATGACACCAGAAAGTCAGGAGATGCCCTGACAATTGTACTTGGTGTCTGACAACCCAAGTAGAAATTTTTAAAACGTGTCTTTGCTTTAAAATTCATAAAGGTAAGACAGCATGTATCTCACTCAAGGTCTCTTATTAATGACCCAAAGTGTGTCACCCTGAGCCAGTGTGTGCATCTCTGAATGTGATTTTTCTTTTTAAAGAAAAAGTCTACTCCTCATTTGTACCTCCTTGTCTCCTACCACTGCTGGCTCCGTTCCTGAGCTGCACCAGGGCTCTTGTTGACTTCAGAACATGCCCGTGTTGTGTACTCTGTGGGTGAATGGACGGATGAATGATCTCAGTTCAGAGTGTTTTGTTCAGAATGGCAGACAGGTGGGAGGGCAGCTCAGATGTAGGGAGTGGGTCAAAGAGGATGAGGACTCACGGTTCTCATGCTGGGTCCTTTGGATTGTTACCTTAACATTCTTTGCACTGTCATTGACCATTATCAAGAAATAGGTCTGCTAGGCCGAGTTTACATTCCCCATGCAATACACAGGTCAGCCACTGAGCAAAGAAACCTTAGAAGCCAGAGACTAGCCACAGGCTCCTTTCAGATTCCCACTTTCTCTGTTTCTTGTTCTTTCTTGAGATCGCACATATTCACAGCCACTTCATCCCTCAGTGCCCCTGAACTCATGCTTCCCTTTTCTGTCGAGACACTTTGCCTCCTGCTGTGGTCAGACACACTCAGCAAAGGGGAAATAAACTATCCTGTCTCCCATCTCTGGACCAATGATCAAGGCATATTCAAGGCTGCTCATTTTACAAATATTTATTCTACTTTCCTTCATAGAGGGTGAACCAGGAGTAGCATATCTTTCTTATGTCAGCATGACACACACATGCACACCCCCACACACATACACACACATGCAGACATACAAACAACCACAGCTGTACTGATAAATACACACATGCACATATACACACCACACATATGCATACACACACCCAGAGATCAGATAGATACACACATATGTATACACATATACACACCACACACACACAAACAGATCACACACAGATACACACATACACACATATATACAACACACACGCATACACACATACACACACACAAACAGATCACACACAGATAGACACACATACACATCTATACACCACACATACAAACACAAACAGATCACACACACAGATACATAAACATGCATACGCACATATAAACCACACACAAATACACACATGCATACACATGTACATACCACACACATGTCACACACACAGATACATACATATGCATAAACATATACACACTGCACACACTTATCACATACACAGATACACACACAAGCATACACATATACAACACACACAGATAGAAACATGCATACAAAAGTTCATGTCCAATAGCCTAGCCTCCTCAGGGAGCAGAGGGGTTGGGGCTTGTCAGGCTCCAGTTATCTTAATGAGCATTTATTATTCTCGGTTGACAGTTGCTTAACAGCTCAACATGGATAACCCTCCTGATTTCTTTTCTCTGTTCAGCAAAACAGAATGCATCCATTTAGAGATGACAGACGAAGTAAATCAATTGAAGAGAGAGAAGAGGAGTATCAGAGAGTGAGGGAGAGAATATTTGCACATGATGTGAGTAGTTGTTTTAATTGCCTCTTGAGTCTGGTCCTTCCATTAAGAGAAAGGCCCCTCCCTTCTCAGACAGAGAGCTGGCAGGGAGCACCAAGGCTGGGACCAAGCAGGGAGTCACAAAACAGAAAACACAAATGCTTCCGGGAAAGAATCTGGTTGAGGGACATGGTGCGAACAGGCCAGGAGTCTGTGTGTGATCCCAGGGGTATTGAGAGATGGTCTGTGCCAGTTAGAGAGACATTCTTTATAGAAAGGGCTGCCAGCTCCTGGTATACCTTTACATCCATAGTAGGCAACAGACCACCTACTAGTGAATTTAAAGGAAATTAGCAGTAGGGTCACATATATGGCCCACTGAGTAAAATGCTTACTGTGTAAACATGAGAACCTTAGTTTGGGTCCCCAGAGCCCTTGTAAAAGACAGGCATGGGGGGCAGGCTTTCATAACACAAGCACTAGGGAGGCAGAAACAGGTAGATCCCACAGGCTCGCCATCCAACAAGTCTAGTCCATTTGTAAACTCCTGGTTCATTGAAAGATTCCAGCTACAACAATAGAAGAAAGTACTTATGTGGATCTCTGGTCTCCACACAAGTACCCAGGCATACACATGTCCTAATACCACACATGCACGTGCGCACATGCGCATACGCGCGTGCATACACAGAGTATTCTTGGCAAATGTGAATACTTCATTATGCAAAAACTATATAGATGATAATATTCACTCTTCCTTTTGATTTCATATCAAATCAAATCTGTGAAGAATTTGTCAAGGGAATAATCACAATAATCACAAAACAACTTCTTTTAATTCAAAACCAAAGAAAATATGGTTGGAATTTTTATCTATCTATCTATCTATCTATCTATCTATCTATCTATCTATCTATCTATCTATCTTGCCCATTATGCTCGAGACCAAATGCAATTAAGTTAGATAAAACTTGAAATCCAAAAAATTAAACACTGTATTTTAGTGAAAACACTGAGGATTTGCCATAGCTTTCTATTCTGTGGAGCCCTTGAGAGCTTTCTTGGGTGTTACATAGCCTGATCTCTGCAAGCTGTGGAGGAGGCTTCAGTGTGGTCCTCTGTGGTCTACATTTCCTGCATCTATAGCATCCTCAGTCAGGCCGAATCTCTGTTGCTATGCCTTGTTGCTGGGGAGGACACAGGACACTTGGATTTTGCTCCTCAGTTTTGGGGACACCACTTCAAGCCAAGGCAAGTGTCACCAACCCCCACTCCTGGTAATTCTACAGCTTGAAGATGCAAAAGAGGCACCATCTGCCATGTAGGTTTCACCCTTGTATCCTTCTTACTTCAGTCTTCTTGAACACATTGAGATAGAAATTTAATGATTGAATACTCTGGTCCAGAGAAAAGTGGAGTTTATCATAGCTGCAGGTGTGAGTGCAGGTCTAGGGAATATGTGAGGACTACTTACTCCTGCTATGCTCAGAATCCACCATCATACATATCCTCACTGGATAAGAGAATAAAATGGCTGAAATTTGACATGAGAGAGCAAGAGAATGTATTGAGCTAGGAGGCATCCCGTTTGCTTCTGAAGACCTTCATAGAGACAGCTTCTCCAGAACATTCCTTTGTCGTTTATTCTTTAACTCCATCCTCTTCCATATGTGCACTTGCCTATATGCACAGTTTTCCTTCAAACTCTACTTCTGACAAGTCAAGTGTTTTAGGAAATGCCCATTATACGAGCAGGGCATGAGCAACCTTGTTTTTGGTTTTGTTATTATCTTTTTAGAGTTATGCCCCATTGTTGGAAAAGGGGCTAAGAAATACTATCTTGGATGCCTGTCTGGAATAAAAAATAGAACCCACGATTCTTAACTCCATAGAAGATGGCCACGAGGAGACAGGCTCTACATGGCTTTCCTTCATTGGGAATGGAGGTCCCAGGGAAAATGCTTGAGTTACCCTTGGTCAAGTTAAGCTTCACTGGCCACAGGGATGGATTAGATTCTTTTCAACTGTAAAGTAGGTTTAAGTGTGACAGAGCTTAGGTGCCAAGCTATTGCCAGTCCCTTACTAAACTCTGATCCATTTCATTTGCCAGCCTGTTTCTGGCACTACCTTCTACCTGATACTCCAAGGCAGGGTTTTTAAATGAGCGTCCTTCAGTCAAACCACTCACAAACCCTTGATAACATTAGTAAAATGATGTTGTTTGTGTTCCTAAGGGGGAAAATGTCTTCCCTTTGTATAATACCTTTCTATAAGTTCCCTGAATCCTTAAAAGCCTAAGGTGGAAAACTCATGCCCACTGTCGTTCTCTAAGCAAGCCCACAGAGACGCTCTTATCACTGATACTTTATTGTAACCTACTTACCGAGGACGACAAGTTAATCCCACATTTAGCAGCATAAAGCAAACAAAAACCACTTATGTCCCCACTGTCTCTATGGGTCAAGTATCCAGTGTAGTTTAGCAGGTAGTAATAACTCAGAATCTGTAACAGAGAGTCTCCATTCATCTCTTAGCTGGGTTTGGCTAGCCAGTACTGCTAGCTGTTTCCAAACCCACTCATGTGGTGACTGGCAGGCCACTCTTGTGAACTGGAACCAGTGTGTAGTTGGCAATTTTCTTCAAGATGATCTTACCTGGAGACTGTTGTATATCTCTAAAAACGGCAATGCACTTCCCCAGGAGGATGTGAGTTATAAGAGTAATGGATCAACAGTCTTTAATGACGTCATCCTGGAGGTGACCTTTCCCCCTCCCACTGTATATTGTTGGATACACAGACCAAACTCAGAGGAATGTGGGAAGGGTGTGAGTGTCAACAAGGAAGAAGTTAAGAGATGACTCGGTAGTAGCGAGGTGTTGCCACAGCATCTATCAATGCAAAATTCCAAGGACAGACACAGCCAGATGAAGTTTCTTGAACACATAGACACCTTAACACACTTTCCTCACCAGTCACATGTTGGCAGCCCACTTCCTGGGGCATTCATCCATGTATTTGCTGTTCCCTAGCTGATGGATCATATCACCACTCAGACTATCAATCATTTTTCACGATGAAAAGATCACTTTTCACAAAATAATAGTTACTTTCCATTAAGTCAACTCTTAAAGCAATCAAAGGATCCAGCATAAGGACCTGTTTTTTAGTAGTCTAATCTTTAGTTTAACTAGTCTTTGATCTTGTTGTCTCATAATTAAAAAACAAAACAGAAACAGTGGCTATTCCAATATTGAGTATGTGTGTATGTTTCCCTACCTGAGAATTCACACATTTTATTTACACTTTAGCAAAGCTCAGGTTTATTTTAAAACTAGAAATGTTAAGTGCTTTGAGGAAGCTTCTTGGTGCCTCAGATGTGAGTGTGAGTGTTTGAGGAGCAGTGTGCATGTGTGCCTGTATGTGTTTCTATTTATGCAATCACATGAACAAAATAGGCATGTTGCCTTGGTTGATATGCTAGAAACAATTTCAAATATTGTTTCTAAAGTTTGGTATCTTGAAATAAGATTGCTGTCTGAAAGCCAAATAGTTGTAACTCTACAGACAAATTTTGTTCTCAAATAATAAACCAGTATGTCTCTATTGTCAGGAGTATTTGAAAAAAAATGATGATTTCTTTGCTGAGAATTTGATCTCATTTTCTGGTCTTTTTCACCCAATGTTTCTAACCTTGGGAAGACTGGTTAACAAGGCAGGATATTTGAGAAATCCCTGACTTGCCTGGAAGGTATTTTGCTGAAGACATTTGTGTTTCCCACAAGGCTCCTGCTGGACCCTCCAGCAAGTGTGGAGGTCTGTCCTCTGAGAGCTGCAGAGAGGTCCCAGGCTCTGGGCACAGTGGGGGTGGGATGTGGGGGGAGAACTCTAATCCATTAAGCAAAATCATTTTCTTCTTTGGAAAATAAAGGAGCCTTTTAAATATTCGGGGATGCATATAAGTGACAGCTTTAAATGTTGTATTTAATTACTGTGACACTTTCATCTTTCTCTGCCATTAAATGTTCCAGTTATTAATACTCCCTTTTCCAAAGTCTATTTCCACCAACTACTGAGTCACAGCCCGTAGCTGTCTCACTTATGCGAGTGGGGAGGCTGCTTCTGAGGCTGTTTCTAAACACTTAGTTGCATACTCTTGAAGGACATTTTGGGGACAAATGTCTTTGATTTATTGGTATTTTGCTTTTTCATTCAAAGGACTGAAGTCTTTAATCTCTTCCCCGCCCACCCCATCTCTCCCCCCCTCCCCCAGTCAAGATGGGTTGTGGTTAAAAACCCTGAAGACATCAGAATGTCTTTGATCAACTTCCTCAAATAGGTTGAGTCTCCCATTCCAGTGCCTGCTGGTAACATTATAAAGCCCACTGACTTCTTCCCAACCATTGAGGAGATGCCATGGCTAAACAGAACCTTTGGCTTAGTGGAAAGAAGTGATATCACTGTGGGAATGGAAGTGGAAAACAGTATCTGGCCTGCCTCTCTGAGTGCTGGCTTCACAAATTGCACGTTTAATTTGAAGAATTGCTGTCGGAGGCTGGGGAGACGGCTCGGTTGGTTGGCAAAGCACAGGGGCGTGAGTTTGACCCCCTCCCCCAACTCAACCAAGAAAGGATGAGTCATGATGTCAAATGTTTATAATCCCCCTAGGGAGGCTGAAACAGGTGGATCCCTGGGTCTCTGGCCAACTAACCTAGACTTCTTGGTGAGTTCTATGTCAGCGAGAGACCCTATTTCTAAAACGCAAGGTGGAGGTCTGTGGGACGGCTCACCAGCTGTACAGGCACTTGTCGTCCAGCCTAACAACCTGAGTTCAAGGCCCAAATACACACACGAAGAAAGGAAAGAACTAACTCCTGCTACTTGCCTTCTGAACGCCACATGCACACCCATCTTGGCATGCACACATACATGCATGTCCACACACATGTCCACACACACACACACACACACACACACACAGTGTTTAAGCAACCAGCCAAATGATTAAAAGATGGACAACCACTGAGGAGCAACACCTTAACTTGTCCTCTGGCTTCCACACATGTACATACATATGTACACAGACGTACATGGATATGTGCACACATGCGCAAAGAATTGCCGGAGAGTCATTGCTATTTCTGTAGTGAAGTGGACCTGTCAGGTTCCTGTTTGTCCCTTTTATAAGTCACTTACTCATTTTGAAGTCTGTAACAGAAAAGGATGCACAGGCAGATAACACCTAACACTGAAATTAGTTCTGTATCATTTCCCAGGCACAGTCTGCTGTTAAATGAGCATGTCTCTGCTTTACTCAGATTTATTCTCTTTCTTTGTTTAAATTCAACCCAACCCATCTTTTCTCAGCAGAGAAAGATGGTAGAATTTTAACTTCCTTAGAGTTAGGTCAGTGAAGGAAGAGAAACAAGAAAGCTGCTGGCTTTCTCTGTGAAAAACCAGAGAAAAGACACTTGGAAGCATTTATTAATTAGTTACAATTAGCCAATGCTTGTCTTTTGTCCTGCCCCCTCCTTTTATTCAGATTAATAATTGATGGCATGTCTTCAATTTCGAGAGACTGTAGTCTGTCTCTCTCTTCTATGAGGATGTATCACACTGAGGCAGGGATTTCAGGGTCTGGCTTCACAGCTCTGCTGTCCCTGGGAGGGTCAAATCTGCTTCTCCTGTCTTGATTTGAACCTGTGCCCTAGACTGGTGTGTACCGCTGCATGGCTGCTCAGAACGCTCCAGTCCCCCGTCTCTCTAGCTCTTTCCCCCAAAGTTCTCTTTTGACCTTGATTCTGACCTGGGACTTAATCTGTTCCTCCCTGAGGAGTTCCTGATGGGAAAACACCCTGTGCTGCCGAGAACTGGTTACCCTGCCAACGACCGACTCTAACCTGATTTTCTCCTTCTAAAATTCTCATCTTTTGTACATAATTTTCTTAATTTTTTTTCCCCCAGGAAGGGACAGTAGTTTTAAAATCAGGCAAGGCTTTGAGAGCCCCACCAATCCAGCACATCTGACATGGTGCCTTTTGTTTATTTTTATTTTTCAGTCAGTTTGCTCCCAGGAAAACCTGTTTTTGGACAACAGGTAAAATGAAATTTACATTTTTTTTTTTTGTGTGTGTGTCTTTAGGAGAATGGTTTGTCATGTGTCTTTTACATTCTCATGTTCATATGTATTGCATATATAAGTGTGTACTTGAATATATGTATGAGAACATGCATATATCTATGTATACACACATATATTCACATATATGTTACTTGATATGTTTAAAAAGGGTTTGGTTGGGGGAAGAAGTTTTCTTAGTTACTTTTAGACAGAGGCATAAGTATTTTCCATCCAAGTCTCTGTTTCCGGCTCTCTCTCTCTCTTTCTCTCTCTCTCTCTCAGATGTAAACCCTGCAACCATGGCACGGGATAAGAGTGGAGTCCTTGTGGGTGGGTGTGCAGCTTCTCCCACTTACTGGCCAGGCTTCTAGAAGTGTATCCAGCCATCTCTTATGTCTTATCACCTTAAATAGCTATGCTCCCCAAAATCAGATTACTATGATTTTCAATTTCAAATTGTAAAAGTCTCCATCTCTTCCCAAAAGGGCTGATGTGGAAACTTTAACTCCGATACTGTCATACTTTACCAGAGGGAGGTGCTTGAGAAACAGTGTTCATGGAACTTATAGAATGTCTTGGGGTTAATAGCAAACCTTTTAAACCTAACCTTTCAGAACGTACCCTTCTGAAACAGTTTAAAACCGTCACAGCTATTAAAATGCGCCCATGATTCAGTTACGTGGATCCCAGACAAAAATGAAGGAAGCTACATGGGTTGTACTAACTACATTTAAGAGTAATCAAAATCTGAACTTGATTTAGAAACACAGGATTCATAAATAAAGCAGCTGTTAATTTGATTTCAGGTGTCAGCATAGGCTGTCCCTGTTAAGTCTGATTAAATGTGAACACTCAGAATTTAAACTGGACATTAGACATAACTAATCCAAAAGGAAACGGTCACTGTGTTAGCAGTTGGACATGTTGAGAGAATTACCTCTTTTAGGTGAAAAAAAAAAAAAAAAAGGTAAAACATGTTCATTCCATACAGTTACAATTTCCCATTTTTAGTAAATTTAGAGTCCATAATTGATTTTCTTGTCGATGACCTAAAGCATTTCAAAATTTTACACCCATGCCAGAGACATTGATATTTCACTTCTATGAAAACACATTTCTAAGTAATCTAATTAATCATTTCCCTATAATATCCCCTAATCCTTTTCATTGATTCTTAAATAATCTAGTTATTCAAGTTGGATCCTATTCAACATTGTAAAAACTTGTCATATTTGCCTATTGCTTATATGAACATGTCCTGATAGTCCAAAAAGGAAACATTAGATTGAATGTCACTTTGGGAAAAATAAATTGTATATTGGACACTTCTGGAACATTAGTATTTCCATTAAATTCAAAGGATTAGTAAATAAATTTAGAGTAATCTTAAGGAAAGTCTCAACAAATGTTTTATTGAATTTCTATCCTGTGTCTAGCAGCATCTTTTCTGTGTTCACAACCCTGCCTCTCTACCCTCTGTCTAGCATAGGATAGGCTGCCATGAATTTACTCATACAGATTTTAACATCCCACAGGTAAATCCTAATGCATGGGATTGATTTACAAGCAAGACATGCTGTGGTGAAGTGCACTGCATACCCGCATAGGGCACTGCATACCCTTAGGCTTCGTGTCATAAACATCATGTTTTTATTCCCAGTAGGCTCCAGGAAGACATTCACATATGCAATGAGACCTATAAGAAAAGACAGCTCTTTCGGTTGGTATGGTTTACTTTTATAAACTGTGTTTTCAGATGATGTGGCAGAATCCGTGTGAAATATAAGTGTTAGTATGCAATATTTCTGTTCATGGAATAAAATCTGTTCAGTTCTCTTCTCATAGCGTTTGTTACACAACTAGACAGGGTGACAAGTAGCACTGGGAAGCCATGACTTTGTGTATTCTCCTTCTGGGTTCTTCCCAGAAGCATCTTTATGTAGGTGATTCTCTGTTTAAACTGGTTAAGCACTTTCAAACCCACTTTGGCAAACTAAGCAGAGTTACAATTTCTCTGGAAGGCTGCAATTATATATACATCCCCAATACTGGAAACTAAATTGATGATAACCCTATTAGGGTGGTAGTTTTTAAACCACTGATGTCCATCATTGTATTTCAAACATTACTGTAGGCACCTATTTAATTTCTAAAAGGAAATTGTGAAATTGGTTTTTGTTTTGATGGACTATTTAAACCACGATCTGTGGAGTCAGGGGAAGGAATCAATTATTTTGTGAGTTCTGTGGTAGGCTAACCCCTCTGTGAGAACAAAGGGGCCTCCCCCCTTTTTCACCACTCTCTTAAATGTCTGCCTGACATGCTTTATAAGGCCAGTTGTAGGCAGTGTTATTAAAAACACGCAGTATCAGGTCCTGCATGATAGCTCGGGGGATAAAGGTGCTTGCCACCAAACTTTATTTCCCGAGTTCAATCCTAAGGACTCAGCTGAGAGAGCTGGCTCCTGTATGTCTTCTGAACTACACACACAGTACTTGGTAAACACACACACACACACCAATAAAACATTTTAAATATTCAGTATCTATTGTGTGTGCATGCATACATTTCTAAATACCAGTTCATCTCTGTCAGAAGAAACAGACTCTTAGAAATTTCAGAAAAGAAGAAAAGCAGACTGCCTGTGTGCTTGTACAAAGCCTTCTGCTAGCATTTTGAATCGAGGTTTTCACCGTTAGTGGAGGTCTCTTGTTCCATCAGGCTCTAGCAGAAAAAGATAAACAGGACCCTGTTTGCACAGTTCTAACTTTCCCAGACTGAACACTGCTCTAGCAAGTTCCTTTCGCATCATTAGATATTCCCTTTTGCACTTTTGCATGCTTAAGAGAATGATGTTGAATTTCTCCTTTGGAAGCCCTGACCCTGAATTCACACATTCTGTGATACAGATTACACATAAGCCTTTAAAAAGCCAGTTTCTTTGACAGCACTCCCAAGTCACCTCATGGCAGAGCTATGGTATAATCAGAGAAACAATCCCAATATGGAGTCTATCACTTACCCTGGTCACTAAGTCCCAGAAACTCGGGGCACATTGACCATTTGTAAAGGTGGTTCTGAGTACATATACCCCCTAACTTGCAGAAAAATTTTCAGAAATGAAGGAAGATGTAAGCAATTATCAATAAGCAGAGAAACAGAACATAAAATGTACATCTGATTCATGACTATCGTGGAATTGAATCCTAGTTGTCTACAAAAGGACCAGATCCAGTGACCATTATTTTCCTAGATGCTGGTTGGGAAGGACCAAGCAGAAATTTTAAAAGTGGAAAGGTATTTGAGCAAGCACTTTTCTGTAATGTTCATGATTCTACACTAAGTAGACTTGGAATTCATTTTAGGACCCAGCTTGCTCTTATTGGGATAAATAGCCAATAGATAGAGAAATAAGAGTAATATTTAAATTTGTACATATCTACAAAGCATAAATAACTGTATATCTTAATTTTGAATTTTATTTATGGGATCTCCTAAAACTAGAAACTTAAATTTCCCCCTTAAAAAAAATGCATAGCTCCTGGCTTAGGATGAGTTGAGCTGGTATCATAGAAGAGTATTTCACGTCACTTTGTGGATGAAGAGATGTAGTTCAAGTCTAGTGAGCTCATAGAGTTACTGGAAACAGCTCTATCATGCCAAAGGCTGTCAACTACAACCCAGGAAAAATGGAGGTCACTTCCTTTGTGAAGACACTCTCAGCCACATTGGAACTTTTGAAAATCTATATTCTGACATGGAGGTGCAGAAGTCACAAGTCACAAATAGAAGGGATAATAAATGAATCAAAATCTGTGATGGAATAAATGATCATCCCCATCTGGAGGGGTTCTCTCTGCCTCATTCAGGACCACCCTAGATCTTCTAGCCAATATTTTTCTATAATGAGTATTCCAGATCATCTACAGGAGAGATTATTATCCCATCCTGGTTCATTTATAATTGCTAAAGAATGATTTAGCTACACTTTGTTAAAGATGGGCCAATATAATCAAAATTATACAAGAAAAGAATGAAGTTGAACTCGGATGTTGGAGGAACAAACTGGGCTGGAGAACCAATTCCTCTACAATAGCTCCAACAGGTTTCTTACATGTCTAAGGGTGTGTAAATTAAAGGCACCTGGATATTGGTGAGAAACTTCCTTTATATATCAAGTCTCCTCTTTGGTACCCATTACATCTGAAACTAGCTATGCCCAAGGTTCTGACAATAGACATTGAAAGAAAACTTTGATGAGGGTATATTCATGCACCATGTCTCATAAAAATGCTTTTTATTCTCTGACTTCTCTATTCAGTCCCTCCCTTGTTTCAAAACTCCCATTGCCTTTACTAATTCTCAGGTCCATCTTCCTTCTCAGTCTTCACAGACACAAACAAAAGGTTCATTAAGTTGGAACAGGAGCTAAAACTTCACTTGCTTCTGCTCATTGGGCTGAAGTATTTCTATCAGATGCCTACATATACTTCTAGTGCCTCAACAGGACACTATTGATTTCAAAGGATTGTTTTTAAACAAAGCTTCTAGTCAGGGATTGAGATTTGATTCAAGCATTGATGACATCACATCATATACCAATGTAAAGTTACAATTACACTTATTACCTGTGAGCCATGCCCCCTTCACCCACTTATACCCCAGGAAAATTCTAGGGAACTATAATGATTCATTATTTCAGCAGAAAACAAAAACAAAAACAAAACAAAACCCAAAAGCCTTGTAAACATGTACAGAGTTATTCCTTAAGGAGATTGGAAACCAATGAAACTACAAATTTCCTTACACAAAACATTCAATTTTGCATATTCCTTGAAGAAACTCTGGAGTTCTCTTGAAATTCAGCTTCAGCTCTTGAGTAATTTCCATTATGTTAGATGCATTTTTGAATGGGTATTTTCTTTTCCACTTCAGGAGGCATTTGAAATTTCTGCTGATGCCCTGGGAAAATCTCATGCCAAAGTATCATGTCAGCCCTGTTTTCATAAACTTTTCTACCCAAGAGGGCTAACAAGCTGTTTCCCTAGACGTGTAAGGTTAAACTCTCAGGGTAAATCCTTAGTGTAAGTTTCTACAGTAATTTCCTGATAGCTCTTTTGTTAAAATCTTGCTGAACAAAGATACCATACATAACATAAAATTGGGAAATTAATTAATAAATAGCTTTTCCCCAAGGCCAATTATTTAATGCTAAAGAAGAAAAAAATAACTTCTTTCCTGGGGAATTATTTTTAGAATTATATAAGACGATAATTACTTCTGAACATGAATTCATTATTGATTCGAGTCAGGACAGCATACCCTCTTTCCCCTCAGAGAGAGATGTTAACACTAAATTTTATATCACTTGTTTCTAACTGTGTCTCCTTCACTGGCAGAGGGACCATAGTGTCTCTGGGCTTGGTTTTCTCATGTATAATGTGTGCCATGTGTCATATGTTTTGTGTCTTTATGTCATCCAGGTATTTGTAACATTGTTGGAGGTGGGGGGGTCTGTTTAAAGAGTTAATGAGAAGAGTGTAGGACACTATTCTACTCAGGGCCCCTAGGCCCACACACCTCATCAAGACACATAACGCTGTCTCCATGAATCTCTCTGGTGGCTATGCAGGGGTAACAGAGACAGCTCCGGAAGAGCATCTGGGAGCCGGCAGAGCAGCTCAGAGACTGAGCTCAGGTGGTCCGACCAGCAGCGGGCCTGGAGCAGCACAGACTCTGACAGCTCCAACCGCAATCTGAAGCCCACCATGACAAAGACAGCAAGTTTTGGGGGCATCACGGTGCTGACCAGGGGCGACAGCACATCCAGTACCCGGAGTGCTGGGAAACTGTCCAAAACAGGTAGGTATTACCTAATGAGTCCCTGCCCGGTTGCTTCTGGGATTCTACAAAGGCAAGCTCTCTCCATTTCTCTCAATTTTGAATTAATTAATGGCAAGAATATTAATTCCATTCTAGTAATCAGGAGGTGCTATTTAATTGGGCTATTGTGTCTTTCTAGCTAGCCACAGACATTAAGCACACCATTAAGTTTCTTACTCCTTAGTTTCCTTACTGGTAAAATATAAGTTATCAAAAGCAGTTTTGTGAACCTGACTTACTTACTGTTTAAGTGACACCATTTTTTTTTTTTTTTTTAAAGAAAGGCGATTACCTTGGCAAATGCAATGACAATATTTAACAAAAATTAGCCAGTGCTTTTGAATGCAATGCTATGACATACTCAGTGCAGCTGCCTTGTATGGTCATTAAAATAGTAATAGATTTGGTTCCTGTATTAGCACACTGTACCTCTAATCCTGGACCTGCTATTATTGAAACTATATGTATCTATTTCCTCCTCTGAGGTATATAAATGATGACATCCCTACATTTCATGCCCATTAGAAAGACAAAAGGCTTCAATATATGCAAAGCAATTTGCCTATATGGCATGTTGCAAGGGCCACTGGCCCAATCAGTGCCCATTTACATTTATTATGGCCTTGGAATGTTTCTGTCCCTAATTTGTAGATGAAGAAGGTCAATCTCTGGGATGTTTAGTTTTCCAAACTTCACAGAGAAGTGAAGGTAATTTTTTGTTGCTTTGTGATTTCTGCTTTATTATTCCTCCGGGGGAACAGTGATATTTTAATGGACAGCTTAAGGAATGTGCAAAGTGTTTAGGAAGTGGTGATGAGCAACCTAGAAAATTCGCTTGAACCACAGCTTTCGAACGCCTAGAATCACATGGTGGTGTTTCATTCCAACAGTGTGGACTCTCTGCTGGGAAGTTTGACTCTGTCTGTGAATTGCTTGCTTTGCAAGCAAAGCAACTGAAATTCGATCCTCAGACCCAGTAAAAAGTGGGCCTAGTGGCATATGCTGGTAGCCTCACCAGTGAGAAGAAAGAAATGGATTGATCCCTGGCTCTCAGGAGCCAGTCAACCTAGCATACTTAGTGAGCTCCCAGACACAGAGACACCATGTGTGAAGAGATTGCTGGATGGTGCCTGAGGAATTGTAACAAACACTGATTTCTGATGCTTATACTCAGAAAAAGAGATGGTGGGGTGTGTGTGTGTGTGTGTGTGTGTGTGTGTGTGTGTGTGTGTGTGTGTGTGTGTGTGTGTGTGTGTGTGTGCACATGCTCAGAGAATGGAGAAGCCCATTTGAAGCTTAGACATTGCTGCCCCGTACTGACTACTTTTCCAGGATCATGGTGAGCAGGAGAGGAGTTTGCACAAAATCTGGGTCCCTTATGCTGACAGTTTAGAGTAATTATGTTGTTGACAAATTCCTCCTAAGAAATTATCTCATGTTTTCCTACATAGAAGGCAAATTAATAGCATTTATTCAGAGATGTTGCTATATACATACTGCGATGTTCCTTGGAGAGCGCAGGTGGGTGGGTGCCCTCTTCCTGAGAGCTCTGTTCACTGGCTGTTAAGCTCTTGATTCCAACTCTAATTGATTGCTCTCCTAACCCACTATCACAGCATCTGAAATCCACACAAACCACTGCTGTGCACTTGAACTTTTGTAAACTGAGAAAGGTTAAACAGTTTTAATTCTTAAGATGCAGAAAGCAGGTACCTTAAATGGTGCACTTAAAAATTCCAGCATCCCAAAAGAGCTCTTACCATGTTAAAATTAATCACCATTTCCACAAAGCAAACCCCTGTCACTTCCAAAGCACAGCCTTTCGGAAGCGTTTAAGACACTTCAAGAATGTTAAAACGCCACGCTTTTTGGAGAACCATTAGGGATTATAAACGCTCCAGACATTTTTTTTTCTTTTAGTTTAAGTGTCTGCCTTCGAAAGCTTGTCAAGGTGCAGACATGGAAAGGAGAAAAGAATTTTTTTAAAGGAGATCAAGAGAGGGTGTCAAAACAATCTTAAACCTTCCCAAGATGGTTGTATGAAGTAAACTTGCCAGTTTTGCTGTCGTCAGCTTCAGGAACAGAATTCTGATTTATTTTCTCATTGTTGGAGCAGAGCTGAATACTTTTAAGGTCGTTCAGAAACCAAATGCGCCTTCTGAAAGTGGGATGTTTAAGTTACTCTCCTCTTTGAATAGGTTCCTGCTTTAGCTAAGTGATAGTGAGACTTTTTCTATGCTGGAGACATTGCCCTACATCAGCATAGAGGATTTGCCTGAATTGTAAACATGGGGTCGCTCAAGGCTGGAGCTGTTTGCCAGAATCCCAGCACAAGTCTATGGAGGCAAAGGATGCTGTCACACTGACCCTGGGTACCTTCTTGTGATGGCCCTTGTGTGGCAGTCTTGTTCTCTTGCACTCAGCTGTGTGCCTGAGCTTAGACACACACTATCTGCTGGCTGTGCCTCTGACAGACAACAATGGTTGTCATTCTCTCCCATTGTTGAGCTTGAGAGCAGTGTTCTCAACTTAAGCAAAATCACAGACACAAAGAGTAGTCATATCACAGATGCTGCCTCCTCCAAGGCTCTCGAGTCAGGAGGATACTTGATAACTTTTCTCTGTTAGCATCCTTATAGCACCTTCCAACACTGAAAAACTGGCCACCAGGAAAGGATCCTCCAATTCAGTTCCAGTTTGACTGCTCCATGTCCTGCAGCTAAAGTATGAGGACACCACCTTTCTTGATTACTAATATTTTATGTTAACCATTTACATTTAACCATTTCACGGGTTATCAGAACCAGCCTCATGGGGTATGCTATGCATACATATATCTACGCCATAGTTTTTTTATTTTTCCCTCTGACATTAATAGAGCTGAATGGAGTAAATAAATGAAGTTTTGATGCATGGTGCAATGTGTATGAGCCTCGTACCTTATTGTAACTACATGAAGCAAGATGTCTATTTCACAACTGTATTTATGAAAAATATCCAAACAGACAACATATAAAGGCAGGCTTTAAATCAGGCATTATGTATGTAGAGTTAGGGCAAGGATTTAGGATTAACTAGTGACTTCGAAAACCTACTGACTTCCTTTGGGGTAATGAGAATGTTCTAAAATGGAATAGTAGTGGTGTTAGTACTACTTCAGCAACATACTAAAAGCTATTAGATTCCTCACGAGAAAAGATGGATTTTATGGTACATAAAACATATGTCAATAAAGCTGGTTTAGTGGATGAAATAACCTGATGGAAGTAAAAGGAAGTTTTACATTTTACAGTATAGTGCTACTGTTCAACCAGTTGGTCTTGGGGGAAAAGTTTGTGTGTGTGTGTGTTTGTCTGTCTGTCTGTCTTCATGAGCAGCTAGAGCACTTCATTCCCTCATCCCCTTCTATCATTCTCTTCTTTTTTCCTCGTCATCCTTCTTCCTTGTTTTTAACAACCCCTCCCTAGAAAAATCGGCACCCCTGAGAAATAGGAAGCAGAGATTTGCATAAATACAAGCTCAAGGTGTGGAATGAACACTGGCTAACCCCATCCTTCAGCACACAGCTCAAACTCTCCAATGTCCCCTTACAAAGGAATTAGCCTTTTGATATCTGACTATCTGGGTAGCAATGTTCTATTGATTTATATCTTTCTGTCAGGTTCTGAGTCTTCCAGCAGTGCAGGCTCCTCGGGATCGCTGTCACGCACCCACCCGCCTCTGCAGAGCACAGCCCTGACCTCTAGTGTGGCAGCTGGTTCTCCAGGCTGTATGCCCTATGCAGAGAACGGAATGGGGGGACAGGTCCCTCCCAGCAGCACCAGCTACATCCTTCTTCCACTTGAAACAGCAACTGGTATCCCACCTGGAAGCATCCTTCTTAATCCACACACAGGTTAGTCCTCCCCTGTTCCACTGGGGACACACATTACTAAAGGTTTGTTCTTCTGTTTGGTAGTTGAAATTTGCTGCTATCCAGTTTTCTGAAAAATTATTGGGTAGAGGGCAGAGTGTGGGGACTACTTTGTGGTGAGTCTGGGGAAGTCTGGATTATAGCTATGTGTATAAATGCATCAGCGTTCATATAGATCAGAGATTTCTTAAAGGTTAGGGCTGGAGCTCCATGGTAGATCAGCTGCCTGGCATGACTAAGGCCTCAAGTTTAATTCCCAGCTCTGAAAAGGGAGAGGAGGAGGAGGAAGTGGAAAGGCAGAGAGGAGGGAAGGAGAGAAAGTGTTGAGGAGGAAAAGGAGGAGAAAGGAGATGATGAGGACAACAGGCAGCAGCTGAGGCAGCATCCCCTGCTCTTAGTCCTGTCTTCCTTAGATACGGAGAGTTTTATCTCATTCTGAGGACCTAAGACCAGAGTCAACACTGTCCTGATATACCAACCAAAACTTGACTTTTCTCACGCTTAATGTGATATCTGATGCAGCTTTCACTCAAAGGCGTTCAGGAATGCAAGGCATCCCATGGATCCACCCCAGCTCCCTGATTGTAGAAGATTATAGAACTCTACCCAGCTCCTGCAGAGTTAGAGGAGCCCACATGAGTAAAGAGATTAATGACAAGCCATTAAATAGCTCCACATGGGGATAATAGACCCAGGCTATTTATAATAGGGCTGGGAAACTGTCCTCTCCATAATTAAGGTTTTTTCTATGAGGAATAGCCAATTTCCCTAAGGGACTAGATAACTTCCACATAACAACCAAGAGCCTAGGATATGGAGGACCCAACCTCAGTAGATAAATTGAAGAGAATCTTTAAGGATGTTTGCCTAGCCCCCCCCCCACCCCTTTGTCAACACTCTTTAGGATCTGAGGAAAGACGGGAACTTTGCTGGCTGAAGTGTTCCAGCCTCCCCAAGAAACAGACCGAAGTCTCCCCACCACAGAAAGCTAGGTGTCCAGAAGGTTATTAGAGCTATGCTGACACACCTAGCACTAAGAGGTTTTTATTTTATTTGTAGACAGAAGGAATGGAGTTCCCTGGAAAGGAATCTGATGGTTAGCTCTAATGTATAGAGTATTACTTCGGTTATCTAAGCCTGAAAGTACAGCAGCTGAACATCTCACATGAGTGATCTATCTGGTTGGATCTGCTCACACAGAGAGTGGTACTGGTGATTAGGGTCCTCAGCACAACATGGGAACTGTGGTAAAATAGCTCCCATAGTAACTGCACATCCTCATAAAGCATATGGCCCATTCTCAGAGCATGGCATTTGATGGAGATGCTCTGAAAGTGCCGTAAGTATGAGAGAACAGAAACCATAATCATTTTATCGAAAGCCACTTGAAAGCCTCCGACTGGGTACTTCTGAGGAGCATTTCTGAACAGCTCCAGTTTTATTGGGATTGTTGCAAGCTTCATAAAGGAAATTAAAGGACACCAGTATCATATCCACTACTCTGGGCCCTGACTGAAGGATGATCTGATTGTTCCGTAATGCTTTCGCTATTGACTGGTAGAGGGCTTACAGAAAGGAGCTGTAACGGAACATCTGGTTTTTGTTTGTTTGTTTGTTCCTGTGTGTGTGTGTGTGTGTCTGATTTGCTTTAAGCAGAATTCTGGAGTGTCTTTAAGAAGGCACAACAGAATGTTTGTAGAGTATTATTAGCAATGATTGTATGGCTTTTCGTCCGTTGTGTTATATTATCATATGTAATCTCACTTACTGAGCAAAGAAATAGAATTCTGCTGGTACCAAGTCCTGATTATCATTCATTGGCTGCATTAACTTAAGGCTGCTATCAAAACATCTCCTTTTGAGAAAGGGTCTCACCTGGAGGAATGGCACTGCTGAATGACTTCTCTACAGGTCTTAGTCTGCTCTGACAGATGCTAGACATTGAACTACCCCCCCAGGAAAAGACCAAGGCAATTGTATTTTATAGTACAGCTGAGTGATGGGAGGTGAGAAATCACATTTCTTGGCTAGGTAGATGGCACACACACACACACACACACACACACACACACACACACACACAGACCTATGCCCGCATATATGCAAACATAAATATGCACATACCACAGACACATACAAAAGAAAGCATATCTTTTCTTTCTAAAGTGACTTTATTGCTGTTGATTGAAAATATATACATGCAGGGATGGAGAGATGACTCAGTGGTTAGGAGCACACACTATTCTTGAAGACAACCAAAGTTGGTTCCCAGCACCTGGGTCAGGTTGTTCTCAAACATCTGCAAATCCACCTCTATGAGAACTGACATCTCTAACTTCTGTGGGCACCCCTCCCTCACCCCAGACACACACACACACACACACACACACACACACACACACACACACACACATGAAAACTAATAAAAATCTTAAAAGGGAAATGCATGCATGCATGTATTTGAATTATACAATACATACTGCAAACTGGTGTGTGTGTGTGTGTGTGTGTGCATGTAAGAACACAAGTGACACCTATCATGTGATTCTTAAATGACATCTACTGTCTTCTGGACTGAAACTCATCCTTCACTGTTGTCACCATGGCTGACAAATCACTCTTCATAACTTAACAAGCACACGACACAAATACTTTCACGTTATGCACCAATGGTATCTTATTACCTTGTTTCCCATGCCCTTGGGCAAGTTCCCTTGTTAGCATATTTTAAATCACTCTGTGGGTAAAGACTTACTGTTAATTAATAAATTAATTACTTAACTTTTGATTCCCTAGAGTGAGTGACAGACTTCTAAATACAATGCAAATACCAGATAGTTACTGGTGAAATAGTCCCTACCAGCCACCATATGTCTTTATCTGGATAATCCAGAGATTTCTCACCCAATGTCATCTATTTGAGGATGTGGTCCATGCATGAAAGTAGAATTGGCTGAGCTTGCAAGATTGGGTCAGTGGGTAAAGGTGCCTGCCGCCAGGCCTAACCTGCTATCAAGTTTGAAGGGAGAGAGCCAACTCCTACAAGGGATATTGTCTGACTTGCTGATGGATTTGTGGTACATGAACATGTATGTCCCAGTCATGTATCTGCTACATGAATCAAAGAGTGTAACATCCTTTGCTTGTATTATGGGCTTAACTCTTGCCATGTTCTAGATATGGGGCATACTGAGAACCCTCCTGTGTGTTCCTGTGCCTGTGCCCCGCCCAAGGATAGCCTTAGCTATGAAGGAATTCCATGGGTGTATGGGAGTATGTGTGTGTGGGAGGCAGTATATGTGTATGGTGTGTACTCATGGATGGACAGAAGCCAGAGGGATGTCAGACATCCATTCTATTGTTCTCCACTTTATTTCCTTGAGACAGAGTCTCTCTCTGAACCTGTAGTTAGACTAGTGGTCAGCAAGCTAACGCAATCTTCCTGTCTCTCCCTCCCACAGCACTGATGTAAAAGGCAATAATGCAACCATCTTAGCTTTTCTTGTGGATTCAAACTCAGATCCTCACACTTGTTTGGCAAGTACCCTTACCTACCTATGGAAACCTCTTCCACAGGTTTGAAATTTGTATTGACCACAGACTTATCTCCCGTTCATTCTCACTCGGCTATGGTCAGTACCTGGATGAGTGAGTGGTCCCAAAGCATTTTGTCTCCCAATGCTCTCTCTGTCAGGCAAGTCCAGACTCTCTGCCATGATCTTCCTCCAGCTGTCCTGTCCTGGATCCCAGCCTCCTTTGAGTAATTTTAGCAGAGGTTCTACTGCAATCCAAAAATGCCAACAGGCAGCTCTTACTCACACTCTAGCCCTGTCAGCTGTATTGTCACGGTGTTTTCTCTTCATCTTGTGCAAATCCATGGCTGTGTAAGGGTGAAGCAATTTTTTTTGGGGGGGGTGGGTCTTCACTCTGGAGAACCTCTCAGTACCATCTCTGGCAAATGTTCCCCCTGGGCTTCTACAATGCTAGAATTTCATCAGGATTCCCAGCTTCTGTTTATCCAAAGTGCTTTCAGATTATACTGAAATGTGCCCTGGGACATTGGTGCACTGTCTGTCAAGATGCCCTGAAGGGCTGGGTTAATTCTTGCCTACCGGATTTGCTAACATTTGCATGCATGCCTTCTAGACAGTAGGAAAGCAAAAACTACCCCGTTATCATTCTATCGAGTAGAAAACAGACATGCTTTGATTTCAAGGCTTTATAACAGTTTTATTTCTTATGTGACTTTCCTTGGTACTAAGATAGTTATAAACTCCTTATAGGGAGAGGGTATCTGCAGTTATGTTTTATTTTATAGCACTTATTGGGGACATAGGCATGCCACACTGTTTCCTATGGAGGGCAGAAGACAGCCTGTGGGAGTCAGTTCTGTCCCTCCACTGTGGGGGATCATCAGGCATAGAGGCAAGACCCTGCTGAGTCCTTTCACTGCCCTACAGTCTGTTATTTTAAGTGTATTTCTAAATCAATTTACTTTTCTGCAGTAATAACAAAGTATTCTCCCTTATGTAATTATCTAACAAGTACGTATTATTGAAACGATATCTGAGATGTTGATATGGACTGTGGAAAACATACGTTTAAAAGGAATGTGTGTTTTATATCCAGTCCCTTTCTTGTCCCTGGCTTTGAACTCAGGGCACTCCAGTTCATCTCCAACATCAAGCATTTCCCCGATATGCCCAGTGTGCATGCTGTAGCCCACTGAGCCTGCTCCTGAAGCTTAGGCCACAGTCGCTTCTATCAGACTGAATACAAGCTCAGGCTCAGCCGGGCTTTTCTTTCCCTTCAATCTGCAGCAGCTGTCACTCAAACTAATTGCTTGTATTCGGTGTAATTTTGCATCTGGATTGGCAGAATTCATCGGACACAGAGGAGTTACTGTGGCCTGACCTGAGAGCCTACAGCCACCTGGCCCAGGTGTCTTGGGACGTTGTTTTGTTCTCTTCTCTGGCAACCACAGTGGCTTTCCCTTCACTCTGACACCTTTCCTGGGTGAGCATCAAACTGGCATTTTATTTCTCCTGCCCTTTCCAGGCCCAGCCATCTCCATCTCAGGGATCACAGGTCTCTCACAGGCAATTATTTCCAGCCATCTCTTCCTTTGCACCACACTGAGCTAATCACATTTCAAGCTAAGATTGTAGAGTTTATCACAAAGGACATGTGAATATTTGGGGTTGTATTCTAACTAAAACTACAGGTAGATTTTCATATGTCTTAGACATGGTGGCTACAAGCTAGGTCATAATAAAAAAAGATCCACTCCCATGAGTGTGAGAGAGACCTAGTGTATGTTCATATATGTGTACTTGTGGATGAGTGTTCATGTGGGTGTACATGTTTGTGCAGGTGTCTCTCTCTCTCTCTCTCTCTCTCTCTGTGTGTGTGTGTGTATGTGAGAGAGAGAGAGAGAGAGAGAGAGAGAGAGAGAGAGTCCTATGAGACCACGGGTAAACAGCAGGTGTATTTCTTCAGTGACCATTCATTTTGTTTCTAAGGCTCACCTGATTAACCTAGACTCCCTGTCCAGGGAGCCCCAGGGAACCTCCTGTCTCCACCTCCCCAGCATTGAGGTTACAGAAAGCTGAGTGTTAGAATACTCAAAAGGCTGATGGAAATGTTTTTAAACTGAAGTATTCTTTAGCTCTTTTCAAATTGCTGTCTTGGGGGAACAATGAATACATGTCTAAAATCTAGAAAAGAAAAACTTAGTATTTAAGAAAAAATCATGTAATAAAATTTAGCTAAAATTAAATGACAATAGTAAGAAATCATGCAGCAAGATTTCTTGTCAGACTATCTTTGGACCATCAGCCTGCAAATAATAACCTAGAAACTTATTGTGATCATAAAAGCTTGTTGATCTTAGCTTAGGCTTTTCCCCAACTAGCTCTTATAACTTAATTAAGCCATATCTTTTTAAATCTATGTTCTGTCATGTGGCTCAGTTACTTCTTAGTACAGCACATCTCACTTACTCTGATTCTGCTGGTGACATTTCATGCCTAGATTCCTCAGTTTCTCCCTCTACCCAGAAGTTCTGCTTACACCTCCTGCCTAGCTATTGGCTATTCAGCTTTTTATTGCACTAATCATAGCAATGAATCTTCACACAGTGTACAAATATCCCATAACAAAATCAGGTCCCTGTAACGTAAAGAACTTTTATAAAAGGTTATGCTGGTACGGTAGTACATGCCTATAGTCCTAGCATTCAGGAATTTGGGCAGATCCTGTGTCCTGGTTTTATAGACTTGGCTGGGAGCGACCTCAAAAGAAATCACTGAGTTTAATCAACATATTTTCTGTGAGTGTATTCCTGGTTCATTTCCTGTAACAGTCAGTGGTGTCATTAGGAGACTAGTGATGGAACTTCCTTAGTCCGAGGAGGTGTACTCGTTGATATGTCCCGATTAAAGTCTGTGAGTTGTCATTGTTGCTGTCATGGTTCTAGGTGGTACTGTGCACCCTTTACGGATGCTCTGATGAGTCAGTTATGTTGGGGAGGTAAATTGACTTTGAGTTTCAGCATGTGGAGGCCTCTCCTGGCTCCCTCCCTTACTGTTTTTTTTTTGTTGTTGTTGTTGTTTATTTTGCTGGATAAGATGCCCGGTCTCTCTGAGGCTAGCTTTACTTCTGCTGAGGTGGAAGTGAGGATGCACTGGGCTATTGAAAGATGTATGCGCAAGGCCCCTGCCAGCCACACTTTAAATGTGTTCTCTCTTTACATTGTATGCCCTGCATGACCCTCATTTCCATGAGCTTCTTGTGAGCCTCCATCTTTTCCTAAACTTCAAAGCCACATGGTCACTAAGCAACCGGCAACATCACAACATCACAGTGAACACGCCATCATCTCAATATATATATATATATATATATATATATATATATATATATATTCCTATGAGGTTTGGATACAGCCTAAGATAGCTTTGGCCATAAGTGGCAACACTGTGTCCCCCAAGCAGGGTCCACATTACTTTGTAAATATAACTCTTAAAAAGTATACAGAATTATAAAAATCTATAGGGAAATGGATGGAACAGGAAAAAAATTATATTAAGTAGATCATCCCAGGCTTGAAAGGATAAACACTGCATATTCTCTCTCATGTGGCTTCCAATGGTCATATGTGTATGTCTGTGTGGCAGAAAGTGTGGGTAGACAATTGAAAAGGGCCCATGAGATGTGAGAAATGAGATTTTAAGAGAGGGGTGTTGGTAGAATAGTAGAATACATGTGACTTGTAACTAGAAGGGGAACAGAAGGGCACAGTTTAGTGGGGAATCGGTCAAAACTAAGCATGTAAGAAAATACTATGGGAAAACGTGTTCATTTGCTAAGTGAATGAACAAAGAACCCCAGGTTGTGTGTGCTTGGAAAGGTGAGTGATGGGTTCATTCCGTTCCCTTGTTTTGAGTACACATCTGTGGGACTGTCATAATTCCTGTTTGGTGGCCAGACTGAGTAGAAGAAAAATCACTGTTTTGACAGATAGCTTGTGACTGGAGGTAGTCCGAGTTGTATAAATGGAAAGTAGCTGCTATTGCTCAGTGTATGTTATCTCGGTGATGACTGTGAGACCTAGGGGGTAAAACATAGGCTGCATGAAGATTGCTTCTACACAGACCTCTCTACTGGTCTCACTTGCCCTTAGTTTGGCAATTCTCCCTGAGTGAGGTGGATTTATTTGCTGCTTCTTAAATTACTTCATGTTCACCAGATCATCCAGTTTAAACTAGTTTGGGTCATAAGCAGTAACATATTGTCCTTGGAGCAGGGTTCCTGTCTTGAATTCCCAATGCATGAGCTTTTACTCTAGGGTGTTTTCAGCGATGCCACGAGCATGCCTTTTTTTTTTTTCTGCAGGGAAATCAGTGAAACACTTATCTGAGCCAGGCTCTGTATGGCTTCATTCCAGGTCAACCCTTTGTGAACCCGGATGGAACTCCTGCAATATACAATCCTCCTGGAAGTCAGCAGACGCTGCGTGCCACTGTTGGTGGGCAGCCCCAACAGCCCCCACAGCAGCAGCCATCGCCTCAGCCTCAGCAGCAGGTCCAGCCATCACAGCCCCAGATGGCAGGGCCGCTGGTCACTCAGGTGAGGAGCTGGCTGGAAGGAAGGAGCAGAAGGGTGGTCAGATGAGAGCTGCCCAGGCTTCAGGTCAGCAATCCATCCAGGAGACAGGATGTCTTGTGTAGTCTAGGCTTTTAGGGAAAAATCGTCTGGAGTATAATCACTGATTGATGCAATATTATGAGCTCATACTCAGTGCAAGTGGCTCCTGAGTGAGAACAGGTACTTGGGAAAAGAATGCACAGTTCTTTAGGTTAAGTGCTGTTTGATATAAAGCTACAGTTGCAACTTAGACCCCTTTGTAGGAGATTTTACTTTGTAGTCCTTGAACAATGTATGCAGGTCCAGAGCATCCAGCCACCATCAAGTGCCCTTCACTGATATTGTAAAGGCATGCTTTCTTGAGCTTCTTCAAGACCAAGGACATTTGGCTCTGGATACACAGACATAGGCTTGCCTGTGTGGTTGGTGTTCCTCTCCTCAATGAGTGTACCTAGATGCTGTTAAGGACAGCAATGTACTTCCCAAGAAATGTACTTCAGCCTCACACTCTCCTGTTACCTGATCGGTATTTTCTTCTCTCCAGTCTGTCCAGGGCCTGCAGCCATCTTCCCAGTCTGTGCAATATCCAGCAGTCTCTTTTCCTGCCCAGCATCTCCTGCCCGTGTCACCAACGCAGCATTTCCCACTGGTACTGTATCATATGCATCACACTCTCACACACACACAAACACACACACACACACACACACACACACACACACACACAGTATTCTCACGTGTTCCACAGATTTCCTGTTCAGCTATCGATGATGCTGCATGCATGGCCTAGACTGGCTATGAAGTCCTCGGATATGTGTAAATGTCTCATGTCTGATTGATACAGTCCATTGTTCCAAGCACCTTTCTTTCTTTCCTTCTCTCTCTCTCTCTCTCATCTGCTTTCCCTAATTTAAATGCTTCTGTGTTCTGATTAAAGTTTACTGGCAGAATAGCTGGGGAAATGACTCAGTCAATAAAATGCTTGCTATGCATTTTAGGAACTGAGTTTAAATACTCAGGGCTCCAACAACAAGGTGGACATGTAGTGAGTGCCTGTGCACTCAGTGCTGTGGAGACAGAAGTATAAGAACCCTTTGGGCTTCCTAGCCAGCCAGTCTAGCCAAGCTGTTAAGCTCCAGGTTCAGTGAGATACCCTGTCTCAAATCATAAACTAGAGAAATGTCAGGCAAAGACAGCCAATATTGACCTCTGACTTCTTATGCATAGGTACACACATGTACCCATGCACACATACACATACACGAACACCCAAGCACACATACACATACATGAAGATGGACACACACGCACGAAGTTTACTAGCTAAGCATACCCATTGTCCTGAGAGTTTGATGTCATGCACAAATAGGTGACATGCTCTTGTTGTAAAGTTGTCAGAATTATCTAACACTGTGACTCAGGATACAACCAACACCACCCTAAGCTCCTGGTGCTGGTCACCTTAGGAATGCAGCCCACTATTTACTTTACATGTTGCCCTGACTAGCAATGGGTCCTTTCAGAAACAGCACAGAGTCTAGAAGTATCAGGTTAGGCCCAGTGAATCAAAGTTCTGTGAGATGGATCTGTGGACCCCATTCCCACTCTGGGAGAAGGGTGTGTCTTCTCTCAAACAGGCTAGCCACTAGGAGACCTGATGAGAGGCAAACTTTCCTTTCTTCAGTGCCTCCTTTCTGGAGCCCAGCCCCTCCATGATGAAGGAGTAATTTTCTTCTACTGAAAGAAGATGATTTGGGCCAAAATGCTTCCCACCTCTAGACAATCCAGCTGAACAAAGCTTGATTTCTCACATGATTTTTCATGCTATGTCTGACTGAGGAATTCTCTTACCTCTTTTTTTTTTATTTCCAATGTACGCTTCCTCCTTCTTCCTCTATTCTTAAGGGTGTGTGTCTACCTCAGTTTGCCGTAACCAGGTCCAGCTTGCCTTACAGGCTCTTCCTTTTTTCCCCGGTCACAGAGAGAAGAGGTGGCTGCCCAGTTCAGCCAGCTGAGCATGAGCCGGCAGTCCTCCGGAGACACCCCTGAACCTCCCTCCGGTACAGTCTACCCGGCCTCCCTCATGCCACAGCCAGCTCAGCCACCAAGCTATGTCATCGCTTCTGCAGGCCGGCAGCTCTCCGCAGGGGGCTTCTCGGACACTGCCCCCCCCATCTCTCAGCAGGTCCTGCAGGCCCCAGCTTCTCCCCAGGGATTTGTGCAGCAGCCTTCGCCTGCACAGGTAGGTTCTTCACCGCAGGTGGCTTGTGACCCTTTGACTTTGTCACTTGCCTTACCGTCTTGTTCACACTAATGGTCACCATCACCAATGTGTTTTGTCCTCTTCCCCGGATTGGAGAAGACCCGTTTTCTATGTTGCTGGCATGAAGCCATAGAAAGGATTGACTCTGGTTAGGGAGATGGCTCACTCAGTATAGGGCCATATTCACAAGGTTGAGGACCTTAGTTCAATTCCCAGGACCCACATTAAAAAGATGGGCATGGTGAGCCACACTTGTAACCCCAGGCCTGAATAGGCAGAAATAGCTGTGTCCTTAGGATACTAAAGGCAAGCCCATCCAGCCATATTAACCAGTTCCACGCCAGTTAGGCACCCTGTCTCAAAAAAGGTAAGCTGGATGGCTCCTGAGAAATGGCACTTGAAGTTGGCTTCTGGCCTTTACATGTATACGTGTACACACACACACACACACACACACACACACACACACACACACACACACACAGTGAGAGACAGAGACAGAGAGGGACAGAGAGCATTGGGTTCTATGTGATGGTATTTACATGGGGGAAGCCAGGAAGGGGATGTCCTGAATCAAGAAACTTTAAAATATCTCCCTTACACTCAAGACATCTGTTTTTCCGTATGAATTCACACCCACCTTCTGGATGTAAGCTATAGACAGGCCAGTCTTCGTGAATACACAGCCAGTGCCCACTGTCCTTCTCTCCTTCCCAGAGGAGGCAGAGCCCACACCCGATCTCACAGGTAGCCATTAATCATATTTAATTGACTGGAGCATGTGAGACACCACAGATCACTGATTTTTACTGTCTTCTGTAAGACTGATTATGTGTTTCTGTCCAGCCCCAAACATCTCTGGGCTCTCCTGGGTATCCCTTGCAGAATATTGGAAGTGATTACTGTCAAGATGGAAAATGCACACCAGCATTTTCTGGTCCATTTTCAAGGCATGCACACCCCAACCAGCTTCCATCCTAATTATGAAGTATAGCCTGAGAGGTGCTGTTTAAAGTGCACGTCACCATGGTGCCGTTTGTTCCACTCCTTCACGTCTTGAATAAATTATTTTCTCTTCAAGCCACCCAGAACCCTACACCAGAAAACGAGTTTTCCTCAGTTGCTCATTTTGAGTGATTAATTAATAGTGCAGCTCCAGTCTCCATCACAGTAGTATTTCTTCCCTGGTAGGATTTAAAGTGATGTTTAAAACAACTCTAAGTAACAGGAGACATGATTCCATTATTACATTAGCTAATTTCACTAATAAATTAAATATTTCGAGCTTTATTATTGGGAACAAAGAGACCCATAGATACAGATGTAGGTCACAACCAATGGTGGCCACCAATGTACATCTTAAAGTCTAGCTAGCCAACTATGCAGCATTGGGAAGAGTTCAACCAAGTCAGTCTGTAGATGTCTATGGAAATATTCTTCAGAGGACTACCTTTCAATGTGTGCTTTCTTAATGCCACTAGAAAGAATCATAAAGACACATGAGCAAGTCTAAAAGCAATCTGAGGATCAGACAAAGGACTCCTGGTTACTTCTTCCTGTGATTTATTTCTTTCCCATCTTAATCTACTTTTGGATTCTTAATATCTTAATAGGGTCAGTTCAAAGTGTATATTTATGCTCCTTTAGACATCTTTATTCCTTTTTCCCTTCAAAGCGTTCATACTTGTCTTTCAAAACATTACTCTGGACTCAGCTCACTTTCCTTCTGCTAGCACGGAGGACTGGAAGATCAGGATGGGCCAAGTGCCCATTAGCTTCTAATGTGTGATGTCATCATTCCTATGAAGTAAGCAGTGACCCACCCACCATGGAGAAGTGCTAGATAAAGCAGGGTTTGATCCCTCAAACCCACATTAAATAGCCGTACATAGTGGCTCACTTCAGAATCTCAGAGCTAGGCAAGGAGAAGGAGGTATATATCCTGGGTTCCACCTTGCCCTTCAGTCTTGCTGAATCAGTAAGTTCCAGGTCAGTGAGACTCTTGTCTCAAAAAACCCAATCTGAATAGTGCCTGAGGAATGACACCTAAAGTTGACCTCTGGCCTCCACTCTCATGCTCACATACATGAACATGTATGTATACACACCTACAAGATGCCCGGGGAAATAGCTAGATGATTGCTAAGGTGCTTGCTTAGCAAGCATGACAGCTTAAATTCAATCTCCGCTACCAAAAATAGGTTTGCAGAAGATACATAAATAATATCTTAGCACAGGTTCCATTTGTATTACATATGCTGCTTATTTTGATATAGGCTCTATGTAAATCACTCTTTGAAGCCTTTGGTAGACATCAAATGGCCTTTTGCTGCTCATGACCCAGTCATCAAGTGGCCAGGACTCCTCCCAAGAAGCTCATTTCTGTTGTATAAAGACTAAGGGTTGCTAGTCATGAGGCTCTGGCTTCTTTCTCCTTCAGGGCAGATAAGTATTTCCCTGGCGACCACATGCATCCTCCAGCAGCACAATTGCAAAATTCCTTCAAGTTCTGTCTTAGGAATGCTAGACTTCACTTCTGCCTCTTTACGATGATCAATGCAGGTCATAGAGGTTCTGCAGTTGCTAGAGCACCAACAGGAGGTATCTCCCACCATGAGAGAAAGAGCCTGTGCATTGAAACAGGCGCGAAAGAGGGAGATGACGGCCCACCTTTACCGTCTGCCACAATTAGATGACACTGTATAGAAGAAGCAGATTTTATGAGAAGAATATGTTTCCTGGGCATAGTACTCATCTCTGCTTTTCTCTCGTCGCGCTGTACAGATGCCCGTATATTACTACCCATCTGGTCAGTACCCTACCTCAACCGCACAGCAGTACCGACCCCTGGCCTCTGTCCAGTACAGCACCCAGAGGAGTCAGCAAATGCCACAGACCGCACAGCAAGCAGGTATGTGAAATCTGTTTCCTTTCTGTCTTCCCGCTCGGTTATTTTTGATGCTGAATTTCATAGATGTGCTCATTCGATGAGTACCCAAAAGAGACAATGTCAGCCACGTGTTTTCCTTACCCAGGAAAGCTGACAAAGCATCTGATTCACTGTGTGGGAAATTAACAGGTACAGGAAAGAGACCAAGTGTATACGCGCCTATGCATGTGTAGTTTTCCCCTACTTGCTATTTTTTATGTCCTCTGGTTTATTTTAAAGCAGCGAGATAAGCACATCCCTACCTTCCCAGCCCTTACATTGTTTCCTATTTGGTTTAAATAGAGCATTTCCCCTAGTTCTCAAGGAGCCAAATTAGGGTGTTACTGTCCTAAAACTCAGCACGGTCTTTAGAAGAAGGCCCCTGACTATGCAGCATGCATCAACGGAACTCTGACTCCGTGGTTCACTGTTACGATGGCCACATGCCTGCCACCCAGGGCCCCGGCGGCAGCCACTGTGCAGTGGGAAGGGGGGCCGATGCACTGTAAGAGAGTGAGTAGCAGGTCTCACAGTGAACCGGTCTCTTTCCCTGCTGTGTCCCACACCTGAGGAAGGCCAGGCCATCATCCAGACAGAGGAGCAGGCACCTGCCCAGCAGGGCTGAGGGAATTGCCACTGGGCAGAACTCTGTGTCATTCCTGCTTGACCAGACTGCAGCGGGAAACTGCTAATTGTCATGCTGAAGATGCCTGGCTGGGGACTCTGTAAGTAGGTCACACTAAAGAGCAGCAGACTCCTGCTGTGACTCTCCGTGAAGGCCTGCTCTGAGATCTGATATCTGCACTGGATAAATGGGTACACAAATATATAATATGCACAGATAACATGGATAAGATACGTGCTATTTTTATAAGCTGGGGGAAAGATACAATTTCCAACCCTGGCCAAGGATTAGTCACAGGCACAGACATCTCAAGATCTCCATTGCTGATGATGCCACAGCTTTGCCAGATCCAGATCGAAACCGAATTCAGCTCCTCTGAACCTTCGATGGCCATGTGTTCTTAAATTCTTAAATTATTATGACCTAGTTAAAGACTTGGAAGAGAAATTAGAGAAACCTACAACTGCCAGTTTTTGTTTAAATGCTGTATTCATTTGGGACCTCTGAGCAGCCTTTGTATTTCTACAAAAGTAAAAAGCCAAAGGGTTTGAAGTTGTTTTTAAAGGAGAGCCTTGGATCATGCATTTTGCAATTGCTAGGAAATCTCCAGCATGAGGTAGGGCCTAATGTGCTGTCCGTCTGTCCTGCTCAATCCAGAAGCACAGTGCATTTGCATGCTGAACTCTGTCATTTTCTTTTGCTAATGTTAGTTTTAAAGTTCCGTTTTAGGGCTGTGAGAAAGCTCAGTTGGTAAAAATTTGCCCTATGAGCATAAAGGACCTGAATTTGATCCCCAGAACCCAGGTCAAAAATAAAAAAGGAGTATGATGACTTGAGTTTGTAATCTCAGCCCAGGACAGGCAGAGACAGAGACAGGTAGATCCAGGAGGCTCACTGGCCAGCCAGCCTAGTCTACTCAACAAACACCAAGCCAGTGAGACACCATCTGAAAAGCCAAGGTGTATGGCAGCTGAGGAATGAAACAATTGTTCTCTAGTATGGAGACACTTGTGTGGACACCCATACATAAAGCACACTAGCATTCACGTGAAAATAAATATTCACACAGACATCATTTATTGTCCCAGACCTTAGTGCAGAAGGCAATACAGACAAGTTTGACTTTGGGTTAGGGATATATTTGAAGGAGGCACAATGCAGGTCATTAATTCTACTAATATCATGTTTATCTAACATAGTGTTGTTGTGTGACTTTCAGATTCAGAGAACTATATTAGTTCTTTGATGGGGTGTCTTGGTAGAAAGGAATGTGGCCAAAACTGTCTTGGAATCTGCTAAGTCCACAGTTTGTGTCTGTGTCCAGGTCCCAGGAAATCAGGTGCTATTAAAAGGGCCCCAGAATTAGGTTTATAAGTGGTTGTCAGCCACCATGTGATTGTTGGGAATTGAACTCAGGACCTCTGGTAGATAAGTCAGTGCTCTTAACCACTGAGCCACAGAATTGGGTTTATAACAGTCACTAATAGCCCCTTGTCTGTGCCTCCTCTCCACTGTCTGCTCTGATGACTGACATCATTTATAAGGAAGTAGCTGTAGCATTTTCATTCTTTTGTAAGGCATTGTGGGAATATTGAGAGATGTAGAAATCCCCTCCTGCATCCCTGGAAGATAGATGGAGATGGTCTCAACCACCTAACCTGGCAACCTGGTGTCTTTGACTTGTCCCAGGTTTCACATAGCACCAAGAATATGCCATCTCTAGGAGGAGATGGTGATCCAGTACAGTAAAGGATAAATCCTATAGAAGGTTTGGTGGAGATTCTGTATGATTTTAATTAATGCTAACAGTGGGTGTGCCATGCTTACCATGTTCTACCTTCATGACATTCTGTGAAGTCTTGGCAGAAACTGAATAGTCCACGTTTAGGTACCACGTTCTACAGATGGCAACTAGATCTTGGCTTGTTTTCTTGTTGCACTCTGCTGCCTGCTTTGTGCAGTGTTTTGCTAGTTCTAACAGTTCCTGAGAGGTGGAAATTCAGACCAGGAATTAAACCTCTACAGATCTAAAATGAACCTCCATGCGATGGCTACCCCCATATCCCTGGAATCTAAGCCTAGGGGAGAAGCCTTCGAGGTACACAGAGCTTGCTATCGATTGGTTTATTTCCCAAACAAAGAAGACATGCTTCATTCCCTTCAAAAAGAGCACCCTACAGAGTCTGAAGGGAAAGGCTGTGATCAGTGAAGTTTGAGAGAACAGTTCTTTTAAACTACTCTTTCTGTGTGTGTATCTCTCTGTCTCTCTTCCTGTCTCTATGTCTTTCTCTATATATGTGTCAGATGTCTTAAAATAATTTTTATCTAGTCTTTGAAAATTTCATTCATTCATACAATGTATTTTGATCATATCCGACCCCCACCATCTTTCTCCCTCATACCTATGTGCTTCCCAAGTTAATGTCTTTGTTGTTGATATTCATGAAGTCCTGAGACAAATTAACTCTACCTGTATACTAATAGGTAAGGGGCCATCTACACTGGGGAAGGGGAACAACACACCCACATCCCCAAAGGAGAGAGACCCTGTGTCCTTCAGCTGTCAACTGCTCCTAGCACCTTCACCATATGTGGGGCCCACCCATGCTGCCAAGTTGAGGTCTTGTGCAGACAGCCATTGCTGCTGTGAGCTGATATGTTCATCAGCCATGTCATGTCCAGAAATCAACATTTCATACCTCTATACCTCAGTCATTGACATTCACAGCTTTCCACCACCCCACCCCCCTTCCAGAGTATTCCCTAGAGCCTCAGATGAGAAGTATTGGTCTGTAGCTGAACACTCATAGTGACTTAGTCTCAGGATTTTGAACTGTTATGAGTTGCTACAGTAACTTTGTCTACTGCAAAAGGAAGCTTCCCCAACAGAAGCTGAGAGGACCATAAATTCATGGGCATAGACATAAATATTTAGAAGGTAGTCCCACAGAATGATCATTTAGCAAAACAGCAATACTCTAGTCTCTCATAGGCTTTTACACACTGCTGGTTAACAGTGGTAATAAACTTCATGGTTAGATAAAATAATAAAGATGACAACAACAGACAGCTCACGGTTCTGCCCACCTAGCAGACAAGGAAAGCCTGTGCTTCTTGCATGTCATGAAATCCAAAGAAGGAGATGGCTGCAGAGCAGAAAGAGAAAAGTCCCTGAGAGATTCCTAGATTATGTGAGAACTGTTGCAAGTGATCCCCCTTGGATTCTGACAGCTGTGAAAGTGATTCTTCTTTTCCAGGTTTATTTTTATGTTTTTAATTATCTGTCTGTGTGGAGTATGTTGCATGTGACTGCAACTGTCTGTGGAGACCAGAAATGGGTGTTGTTGTGAGCTGCCTAATGTGAGTGCTGGGGACTGACTGGGCCTGTCTCAGCTACAAAGGCAGTATGTTTTTAACCCTTGAGTTTCCTTGGGAGATACTTCCTGCCTGCTTTTTGCTGTTTCTTTGTTTTTTGGTTTTTTTTTTTTTTTTTTTTTTTTTTTTTGTATAAGGTCTCACAGATCTCCTCCTCATTCATTAGCTCTTACATATTTTCATGCCTCGCCTTCTACGATGCTCCCTGAGCCTTGGATGGGAAGTACTGATAGACATTATTCACAGTCTAGGCTGACCGCAAACTCACTCTATAGCCAAAGATGATTATAAATTCCTGATCCTTTCTTCTCCGTCTCCCAAATACTGGGATTATAGGTGAGTCATTATACTCACTCTCACCGGTGCTATGTAAAACCTTGTGCACTTTCATCGTAGCCAACTATTTCCTGAATGACTTATAGGGGGTAAAAACTATATCCCATAGATAGAGATCCTCTATGAAAATGCCTTATGTTTAAATTATAGTTCAGATGGGAAACATGAAGGTAAATCCAGTCAATACCTCCCCACTCAGGCGCACACTCTTATAAGCAACCATAATCCGTTTCAGTAGGCTTTAAAAAAAAATACGGTGGGCTGGAGAGATGGCTCAGAGGTTAAGAGCACATATGCTCATGGAGGGGAGCTAAGTTCCATTACTAGCACCTACATGATGCTCTATAACCACTGGCAAAGCCAGGACCAGGGGATCTCATGCGCTGTTCTGGCCTAAGTGGGAACTTCATGCACACGGAGCATATATATGTATGTATGTATGAATGTATGTATAAATGTATATACATACATATGCATATATGTGTATATATGAAAACATCAATACACATAAAATAAAAACAAATGTATTTATAAAAGATATCAACATGGGGGTGGAGCTTGTTAGGAAAAAAAAGTCCCTGGGTAGATGAATGAGGGGAATAGGAGCTTAAAGCTCATAAAATATATGAAATTGTCAAATAATTTT